AAAATCAGATATGTCGAATCAGTGCGTAGAAAATGTGGAAATGCCTACAACTACAGCTGTTTGTCCCACCAGAAAAAAAAGAAAAATCGAGACTTTTGAACAACTTTCGCATATGTCATCAAAGACACAGTCTGCTCTCAGTTGTATCACGTGATCCAATCTGTACCCCAACAACGCTGCTACAAGAAACACACACACACACGCATAGAAAAATGAATATGACTCCTTTTTCTTACACATTGCTTACTGCCTTTGTCGCAGTCAATATTTTCGTGACTACTCCCAAAATTCCCCGATGCGATAAGTAAAGAGAACAACTGCTCCAAGTAAGAAATTCTTTCATTTCAATCAGATTAAAAAAGAAAACAGAGAGAAGAAAATGATAAAGAGTTCTCGTCTCCGTCAAATATCGAATATAAATATTAAACGTTAATTTTATTCCACTGAGAAAAATAGTAAATGTAACAACTGAAAAGGGTTATTTTACTGTTTACAAAAGAATGGATCAAGAGGTCATTGCTAATTGCTCAAGCTTTTGCTCTTTCTGTTGATACAATAATATTTGTAAGTATTCAATTACTCAAGGAACAACAACTCCTTAACAATCATTTTCCGATATATCGTTATTTCAAAGTGTCATTATTTCATGTAAAAATATTAGACTTTTCATTTTTTTTCTATCATGAACATTTTCACTCTTTATTACCAAAATAAACTATAAGTATGTATTTTCAAATATCATTCAACACTAATCATCTGCTGATTACAGCTCAGTAATACAAATTTGTAATACAGTGATCCCTCGTTTATCGCGGTAGATTGGTCCCGAGAACGGCCGCGATAACTGAATTTCCGCGAAGTAGGGGCGCCATATTTACAGTATTTATTTAACGTGTATTTGAACATTTAAAACCCTCCCTGCACTGTTAACAACCCACCTATTACAGTACTCTATTAATAACAAGGACAACTGTTAAGCAATAACATTTTAGATTAAAAAAAATAAAGATTGTTACTGTACTCAACAGGAAAGAAGTTGAAATAAAATTTGAATGATGATGGCGATGAATTTGCTGCGCAGGAGAAATGATGATGTTGAAGCTGATGATTACTTCTACTGTGCAGCCGATGATTGTATTTTACATCTCTTCAGTCGGCGGTGCCCTTTCCTGGGACACCTCTTCCACTTCTACCAAAGGTGCAACCGTAGTAGTAGCAGCAGGAACTGGCTCTTTTTTCCGAGGCTGCAAAAACATTGTGATAGGAAGTTGCTGCTGCTGCATCTTTTTCCATTCAAAGAGCATCTTGTAGGGATTCATGACTTCATCGACCTTGTTGCAAAATGGCACAGAATGAACCATATCATCGTCCCATTCCTGTGACACCTCTTTCAATTCTTTAGCCAGGTTGCAGAGCTTGGCCAGCCGTTCCAAAGTCAAGCCAGTTTGGTCAACAACAACTTCCGTTTCTTGCTGCGTTTTTTCTTCTTCGTCGTCGCTGGCCGACTTCATCAAGTCTTCGAGGTCAGCATCGACTAGCGGCTGTCTCCCGTGGTCATGTCTGCAAAGCCGTCACCTCCAATGATCGCAGCCAACTGCAAAGCTTTCTGTATTGCGGAGTGTTGAATTTCGGCAGGTGTAAATCCCTTGTCGCCGTAAATAACCTCGGGCTACAAATTCTTCCAGCTCGCGTTAATGGTGGCAGGCTTCATTTCTTGCAATGCCTTCTGGATATTTTGTAGACACGTAGCATTTGTGTTCTGTCGCCAGTATGCCTTCAAGTTTAAATTTTCGCTTTTGTGCGGCATCCACAGAAGCAACCACGTGATTCAGGACATTTCTCGTGTATAGGGTTTTGAACGCCCTGAAGTGACGTAGTGTTGGGCCTCAGGAACCCAATCTGAATGCCCTCATGCGGCAGATCAGTAGCGTGGCCACCAGCGTTATCCATGAGAAGGATTTCGAATGGCAAGCCCTTCACTAATAGATTCACCTTGACTTGCGGGATAAAACACTGGTGGAGCCAGTCGAAGATCGGTATCTTCGTTATTCATGCCTTTGGATTGTGCATCCAGTGTATGGGTAGCAAAATCATGTTTTTGTTTTTTAAAGCCCTTGGGTTTTTAGACTTGTAAATAAGTCCTGGCTTTAACAAAAAACCCGCAGCATTGCCACACATCACGAGGGTCACGCGATCCTTGTATGCTTTAAAGCCAGAGGCTTTTGCTTCCTCTTTGTACAGGAAAGTTCGTGACGGTATTCTTTTCCAAAGCAAGCCCGTCTCGTCCATATTAAAAACTTGTTCGGGCTTATATCCACCTTCGGAGATAATCTTCTTGAAGTTTCATTCACGTATGTTTCAGCAGCGCTCGTGTCAGAAGAAGCAGCCTCGTCATACAGGGAAATGCTTTTTAGGCCGAAGCGTTTCTGAAACTTAGCAAACCACCCTTTGCTAGCAGAAAAATGACGTTTTTAGGTTGTGAATCACTGGACGTCCCTGGTTGTGGATCTTCTACGTCGTCTTCGTCTTCTTCCTCTTCTTTGTGGTCGCCACTGTCGTCCTCAGGTTCCTTAGCGGCGAAAGTCTCGTACAGGCTTCTAGCCTTTGTTTGGATGATATTCGTATCCAAGGCTATGTTCTTCTTTCGGCAGTTGGCTATCCATACGGCCAAAGCAGCTTCCATACGGATGATAATTTTATTACGAGCCGTAACCACTCTCTTCACCGGCTTATTAAAGGTGATGGCAGCCGTTTTCCAAATGTTAGCCTCGGCCTTCTTGATGTAGCGAACGGTGGATTCGTTCACACTAAAATGGCGAGCTACGGCAGCGAAAGTTCTCCTTTCCTTCAACATATTCAGAAGTTTCACTTTCTCAGCGATCGTCATCATTCTTCGTTTGCGTTTAGGCTCAGTACCAACCTTGGAAGGAGCAGCATGATTGGGAGCCATTGCAGGAGATGAAAACACAAAGTTCAACTGTATGCACATTGCATTCTAGATGGTTCTTTTATTTTTGTCATGTGAGTTACAAGTTCAAATACCCCTGTATATGTTTTTTTTTGTTTTTTTTTGTTTTTTGTTTTTTTTGTTTGTTTTTTTTGTTTTGTTTTTTTTTTTTGCTATTTTACGCTTGTTTTGTTGTTCCTAGACTAGGAAATAATATTTATTATTAATATTTTAATGGATTTAATGACAAATTTTAGGTGTTCACATATCGCGATTTTTCTAGAATCTTCCAGAAACTCCGCGATATATTTTCCATATATATATTTTAAAAACCGCGAAGTCCTGAATCCGCGATAGTAGAACCGCAAAATAGCGAAGGATCACTGTATAGTTGGAGTTTGGCTAATTTTATTTATTTGCAAGTATTTATATAAATAGGAATATAACTTTTCCCAACCTCCGACGGTTCCGCAAGAGTTTTATTTACCCAATTTCACACACAAGTCTTGGTTCGAACTGCGGAATTGTTTTACAGCCGCGCGCTGACATCGATATTCTGTAGAAGTGAATTTTTAATAATTAACCATTGTGAGATACGAACTTGGATCTTAAGGTTCGAAAGTTAACATCGTAAATGCGACCTCCGGCATAATTTTCTGATAAGATTTCTTGAATATTCAGGCGGGTAAATGTAGTTGTATATATCCATATCCATCATATATATATATATATATATATATATATATATATATATATATATATATATATTCACCTATATCGAGCTGCTCTCTATTAATCAGCTGAGAGATTAGTTTCTGCCTTCCATCAGCATGGCTAATGCTAACCTCTAGGAGAGTGCCTTTTCTCTAAATATTTTCATGGTAATTGTTCCAATGAGCTCTTCGATATGGTACCTAGACTTTATGAATATAATTGCAGTACCAGATGGCGGTGAAGTCTCATCGGCCTACAGTAGAGTTAGCTAGATGTAGTCCTAAGTTCTATGCTAACATTTTTCCTTGCACTTCTCGTTTGTGAAACTCGCTACAGCTCCATGCTTTCCAGCCAACTTTAATCTACAAAAATGTAAATGCAATGTCAATCGCTATCTGCTGTCCTCCTGATTACACTTCTTAATACTCGCTCTTTAGTAATGTTTCTGCTTTCTAATTCTTCTACACACAGCAACACCTTATGTCTTATCGCCTTGCATAGGGGAACTTGATTATATATATATATATATATATATAAACGGTTAAATGCAACCGTGTCTTCTACTAAAACAGCTTCTTCTCTCACACTTCCTGTCTGTGGAACTCTCTTCCTCTTGCTTGCTTCCCTGATAACTATACTTTTCAAATATTCAAGTGTAATGTCAATCGACATCTTCTGATATCTTGATCTTGTGCCCCGTCCTTCTCTGCATCCTTTCCTCAAATACGCCTCTTTACTCTTGTTCTCAATCCTCTGTAACCCCTTACATGCTCCTGCCTTGCTTAGGGTGAATTGCTTAATATATATATATATATATATATATATATATATATATATATAGATAGATAGATAGATAGATAGATAGATAGATAGATAGAGAGAGAGAGAGAGAGAGAGCATTTATATATTAATGTGTATGTAACCTTTTAGTGATGAAATAAATATACTCAAGAAATAGTCATTTTTCAATATAATCTTCTTAATCTGTCAATGCTCTAAAGTAAACTGTTTTCCATTAACCGCGTAGATCAAACATTATACAGTGAAAAATCCAAAATAATATTTAGATAATGACTATGCGTCAGGCCACAGACTTACTGATCCATTATCAAAGATGAATACATGGGCTTATGTTTTCGTTCGAGCAACACATCGCCACAACACGTATAAACATTTGTGTCATAACACCAGAAAATTAATATGATAAAAATTAACAGTAATTATTTTAGTGGAGATATAATCAATTGAGTGTAAATTTAAGAATGAAATTTTTTTATTTCTGTTGATTGTCTTGTAAACATAATTGTAAAAATTTAAAAAGCAAAATACACTACTTGAATTAATAACTGTAATAGATAGATAGATATATAGATAGATAGATAGATAGATAGATAGATAGATAGATAGATTTTAAAAATTGTGAGTTGTCAGCATTTAAAAAAGTAAGCCGTCTATCTTGTAAGTTCTACTAACAATATTTCTGTTGGGGGTTGTAGGATTTTAAGGTTCAAGAGGGGTATATTTTTATTGACGATGCAATTACTTCTGGTTCAAGGAATTTAATGAACTATTTATTTATTTTTTTAGCATTTAAAATTAGTATTCATTGACAATGTGTTTTATAGATGGATGCAAGAAACATGTAAACTTTGCTTTTGAGAGTTGAAATACAACGCCTTGTCCACAAGAAATAATATTTTTTAAAAAAGGCAATAACAAATTTCAGGTAAAGGCCAAGAAGACATTTTTCCAATTCATTTTGCTCCAGCTTTGTTTTAGTCATTTTTCTCTAAGATAATCGAATTCTTTTGTTAAAATCTAGTAATTCGCTCAGGTCTAAAAAAAAAATTAAATATTCATCAAAAGTGATACCTAACGAGAAGGGAAATTGTGCTGATAGTTGTTCATTAAAGGCGAAGTTTTCTAATAGATTCAATGACTTTAACCAACACAGCCGACTTTATTCTCCAATGAATAAAGGCGTATTCATAACAGTAGGAACTTTCATGTTGTAGTTGCACAATCAGCTCCATGTTTTCTCTAGATTGTATCTGTTATCGGCTCCTTCTATAGTTTTGCTTAGTAGTTTTATGTTATTTGAAATAAAGGCCTAGAACATTTGTAGTTAGCATGACACATTTATAAATTACAATAGATTCCCCAATATATATATATATATATATATATATATATATATATATATATATATATATATATATATATAAGCAGCTCTTATAAAGTGTTTGTTGCGTATACACACAGAAAGAAAAGCCTTCAACACTTACATATATATATATATATATATATATAATAAATGAAGAAAAATTTAAAGATTCATTTCAGTTGTAATTTATTTCATGATTATTGTTATATTCATCTCTTCAAACCGAAAATCCTTAATAAATATTCACGAAATAAATTATAATCGAAATTGATCTTTAAAGTTTTTTTCTTGATTTATTATTATTATTATTATTCTCTGTAATTTACATTGAGCTCTCTTCGGATTAATACCCTCCTTGGAATTATCAAAACCAGTCACAAATTGGTATATATATATATATATATATATATATATATAAATATAAATAAAGAACAGTATATCTTTCTTATAGATAACATTTTTCAAAATTGAATAAATTTACAGACATTAATATTATAAATCCATTCATTTTAAATATGTCCTTTCCAGTTCCAACCATTGTTCAAAAATATTCATCAAAAAACCCGTAATTTTTTTTTTGCAAATAAATTAAAAGCATTAGTTCTATTTCATCTTCAATCAATTTTGCTCAACTTTTAAATTTAAACTTTTAAATGTAACTGCTGAAATCGTTTCCATGATGAATATTTTACTCAAATTGAACATTCGTTTTTCCTTATGACAATATCATTGTATCAGTTGTAATACATTTTTGGTAAGGGGTGAGGATGTATTTTAGAAACCTGAAATCGAATGGATGTCGTCTGAATTTAAAAAAAAAAAAAAAAAAAATTGAAAAACGGTAAAAATTTTCAACGTCATCTTTTTAAAATTTAACATTTTTTTTTACAATACTTTTTATTTAACTAACTTTGAAATATTTTCCTTTTAATTTTTAAAACTATATTCTTTTTAAGAACAGTTAAATGTTTGAATATATATATATATATATATATATAAATGTTTGAAATATTATATATATATATATATATATATATATATATATATATATATATATATATATATATATATATATATAGGACTCTCTCGTCGCTGACGACAAATGAGGACTCACCAAAATAAAGAGGTGGTCAATTTTTATGAACACGCATGTGTCTCCCAAGACCTGCAGGTGTTTCGCAAACTTTTAGGCAGATAAAACATGTGATTGTCCCATTTTGCTCGAGTGGTGGAGGATCAATTGCCACATGTCTCTGCCAGTGGACAGCCCTTCTTTACTGTGTGCAACAAAGCCACTTAATGGGAAAAAAGCTAATTTTCTGTATACAGAAGCTCTGTCAATCTAAGGGCCTACATCATTTGTTTTGTACATCAGAATATTTTTCAGTTTTTTTTTTGTGTTAAAAAGAAATATATTTATGAACACATATGTGTGGCGTTATGTCTAATTTTTCCCGGACCTCGCCAGTTATCGTTGCTACTACGTAAAAACTCACATGCACACATAGCATACCATATGGACACTAAGGTCAGCAACGAGCAACGACGGTCTTTTTCATGCTTGAACACCTGAAATATGAGTTCAAACATGAAACACACTGTCACCGTATGCGGTTGGCCTATAAGTTTCAGGAAAGGCAAACATTTCTTTCGTAGTTTTATCAAATTACGATAACACTGTTTACTGTAGTACGATATTTTCTCGACAGATAGCATTACATTGGCAGCCTTTAGATTAGAAATTAAAAATGCATGTGCAGCAATCCCACTGGACACTTTGGCCAACGTTGTTCAAGCACTAGTTCGCCGGAATAATAAATGTCTGGAAGCTAAAGGCCACCATTTTGTGCATCTCTTGTGGTTGTAGAATTCAAAGGTAACTTGTATTAATCTTGTGATGTCTGAATAAATTTAGTATTACAATATCTATATATGTTTATCCTTTCTTGAAGTGTGTATACATTTTTAACGGTCTCTCTCTCTCTCTCTCTCTCTCTCTATATATATATATATATATATATATATATATATATACGACTGTGTTTATATGATGATTGCCTTCAGGCATGAAACAGAGTGTCGCCTCTGGGTATTGACCTAAATATCCATATATATATATATATATATATATATATATATATATATATATGTCTGTATGTATGTATTGTTTGTGCGTTTATGCCTGTATCCTTTTCTGTGGTAAAAGAAAACCACACCTCATACGACAAAGAAACTCTTTCTTAAATAAAACCAGCCGTACTTTGAACAAGGTACAATTACTTAAACGCCCTAAAGAGGGGGGAGGTAACTATAAAATACAGTGATTGAAAATAAAATATCAACACCCTGAATATTTTTTTTAATTTACTCACTATCAAATATAAAAGTAATATAGATGGATTCAAGTAAATGATCACATATAGAAACCAATAGGTGCACGGGTTCAAAAATAAAGGATGTATTAATCTTACTCAGACTTCATGTGTATCTTCTTCGATCCTTAACACGGCCCAATGCGTACGATCACATAAAAATGGGGAATACCATTCTTCGATATATTATTTCTCGCTACCTATAAGAATCTTATTTTCCATCAGTTCTGAAAAGAACTAAAAAGTTCATCTACGAAACTCCAGAGTCGAGGTGCTGAATATAACATCAATCAGCTAAGTTACAAATTTTATATTTATATTAATCTTATATAAATGTGTGTGTGTGTGTGTGTGTGTGTGTGTGTGTGTGTGTGTGTGTGTGTGTGTGTGTGTGTGTGTGTGTGTGTGTGTAAAAATATGAATAAAGAAAAAAGGAAAACTATTCCTGGCCGACGCGTTTCGTCTTCTGATGGACTTTATCAAGGCAAATGTAAGGATTTTTTTTTGAAACGTATTTATAAACAGAAATAAAAATATCTTTAGTTTTAAAAAAAAATAATTTAAGAGCGCACGCAAATATTTATATTGTCTTTTTACAGATATATATTGTTTTATTTATATCTGAAGGGGTGAATATTTTAGGAAAGGAGATATTTGAAAGAAATCCGAGATGCAGATTTATATTTTGGCAAGATTCGATGGCGGCACTCTCAAGAATTTTCCTTGTAAGTAAGTTACGTTCTCGTTTAATAAATATGACTTTATTCCGATCGAATTTGTGGCTAAACATATTTTTATGTATGACCCATAAATATGATAAATTGTTATGTAAAGGCTATTATACATAACACGATATCAAATGCATTAGTCATACATAAGAGTTTAGTGGCGAATTCATCCTGTTTAGTTCATTCACTGCAAGGTATAAAATACTCAAAACTGTTGAAAACCAAAGAACAGATGCTCTACGAAAGAGTTCTTCAAGACCTTCAAGGAAATTAATGCGTCAAATTAAACAAAATCCAACGGTTACTCGTTAACAGTTGCAGGATGATTTGCTTTCATCAGTAATCTGTGTCACTAAACGGGCAATAAGCAATGAACTTGATAGGAACAATTTAAAGTCACTCTCACCTCGGAAAATTCCACTGCTGTTGAAAAGACACTGAGATGCCAGACTGAAATTCGTTCGTGAACATAAGAATAAGGAATTGGGAAAGAGTATTATGGACAGACGAAACCAAAATTGACTTGTTTGGACGTAATTCTAGAAATCCTGTATGCCTTCAAAAATCAACTCTAGATCTAGTGTCTTTGACTTCATATGATGCCTTCAAACAAAAGAACACAATTCCGACAGTGATGGTTTGTGTAAGTTTTTGTGCAAAATGTACTGGCAACATATCAGTAATAGATGTTAGAATGAATGCCACAGCATATCAAAATTTTTTGAAGCAAATTTAATGATTTCAGTTGAAAATCTAGGACGTCCTCTTGATTGGATCTTCCAACAAGATAAAGATCCTAAGCACACTGCAAAATTTATGAAGAAATGGCTTGCAGAAAATAATGTAAATATTCTAAAATGGAAAAGTCAGTCAATAGAGAATCTGGGACGTTATTTGAAGATTCAAATCCAATCAAGAGCTCCAACAAACATCCCGGATCTGAAAATCATATGCGAAGAATGGAACAAAATACCAACTGAAATTTGCAAATCTTTGATTGAGAACTACAAGAAGAGTTTGGGTGATGTAGAAGTGAATAATGGCTATTCTACAAAGTATTAAATGAAGATTATGTATTCTTTCTTGTATTGTACAAATACTTTTTTTACCCATTAAAATAGACAGATAGGATTTATTTCTATTGAATCAAATTTTTTATGTTTTCTATGCATATTTAGTTGTTACGTATTATATGAAATATTATTTATTGATTAGTTGGAAATACAATAAATGAAAAATTTGTATGTGTACGAATATTTGTTCCTCCCCACCGTATATAGTGATTTTCCAAGTGTAGCTTAGATGTGGCACAAGGCCGAAATTAGGGGCCACCCAGTGAAGATCGAACTCACTACTCAGTCGTAATTGTTCTAGCGAGCCAAGCTTGCTAACCATTACACCACCTTCAGGTGCCCCCTCCCCACCGTATATAGTCCCTGTACCACTCCAGTAAGTACCTGACTCTTCCTGTTATCCTCTACCTTTACAAGAGCTATATCAGGACAAAAAAAAGGAGTACTGTTGACATATTCGAGCGGAAGCTGCCCAGACCTCACTCTCCAGCCTTGGTAGAATCAAAAAGCGCCTCCTAGCCATTGTGGGTGACGAATTATTTTCTATTCTCCAACCTCTCTCCCACAGACGGACTGTGACAAACCTATCGCTTCTCTATTGCTACTTTCACGGAAAGTGCTCGGACTAACTACATTCTCTGGTCCCGCCAGTCCTAACCTTCACGGCAAGGACACGCCAGGCCACTTAACCGTTATCTCCCTCACCTATCCACACAAATTACCTCCTAACGTAACCCTCTACTTCGACTGACCCCGGACCTTGTAAATGGTGGACCTTGTAAAAGATACATATAAATATATATATATATATATATATATATATATATATATATATATATATATATATAAGCAGCTCTTAAAGGTGTCTGTCGTGTATGCACACCAGAAAGAAAAGCGCTCAACACACACACACACACACACACACACATATATATATATATATATATATATATATATATAAACTACTGCCTGTTCTTGCGACTATATCCACCCATTTCCTATTTGAAAAATCAACTCTAGATCTAGTGTCTTTGACTTCATATGAGCCGAAAACTGATTAATTTCTTGGTGTTTCTACTTTTAGATAATATATTGATTTAGATTAAATCATTAATAGAGAAACTCCTGAATGCTTGAAGCGACGTTTGGCATTTCTAGCGTTCCTCAGATAACGAAGTAGAGGTTTAATTGTCGGAGGCAAATTATTTGTTCAAACATAAAGAACATTTTTTTTCCTGCCGACTAAATGTCCTCACAAGAAAACAATTTGGAATACGGAAAAAAAGTGGATGTCGCAACTCCGTGGATATAGCATGACGTTCCTGAGCTGTAAAAGTCTGAACTGGTGGAACTAAAGTCTAGAGGTTATTTACTGCGAAATTAGCGAGCGATCGGCTTGCGACGTTGCGTCTGTCGAGATGGGACTGCCGAATGGAAACTAAGTCTTCCTTCAAAAGACTGCGTAAACAATTTTGAACTTTATCAAGGCTGAAAAGTGAGAATTGATCAACTCCAGCATATACAACGTGTCCCAAAATTCACTTAGGCTTTTAAAAATGTCATAACTTGTCGGATTTTTCACATAATTTCTTTCTTTCTTTTTATACTTTGAATAGATTAACATAGGGAACATTCACAACTGGAATCATGGAAGTTTATTGGGGATTTAACCCAAATTTTACTCACCAGGTAATTTCACACAATTATAATATTTTATAGCTACCAGATTCTGCTGGCCTCTTGATGATTTTCTTTGGGAATGCGTTAAGTGTCGTGTATGCATCAATAAACTGTAGACAATCCAAGAATTACATTTGTACAGAAATTCGAGTGTTTCAGTCACAGTTACTAACCACTGTTATAGGGAATGTTATGGAAAGGTCGCGTCTGTGTGAAGTCGAAAATGAAGGATATTAATGTCATATCATTTTTCAGAGTTAAATAGTAATATATTTCTAATGTTTGACTTTTCATTCTGTATAAATTTTTTTTGAATAATAAAAAATGTTGAAGTTTTTTTGAATAATGAAAAACGTTGAAGTTACTAGATTTTTAAAACCCAGGGTAACTTCTGGGACACTGAATAACAATAACGTTCCATTTTTGGTCTATTTATACATCCATGTATGAATTTTAAACTGTTATTTAAAGATAAAGAAAAGCAACAAACTAATAACGCGTAGCTCCTCCCTTCACTTGAGAGTTACGTGACATAGCAATGGGTTTACAAACTGGAGTCATTCTGTAGTCATATTTATCCAAACACATCGCAGAACCTCCCAGTAGTGTTCGTTGGGTGTGTCTACTGGGTATATAGTGACTTCTGGAACATATCGTATGTCAATAGGATTTAGATCTGGGGAGTGCAGAAGATATTGGAGTACTTGGAAGTTAGATTAGTGACCCTGTAACCATTTTCCTGACACCCACGAACAACAGAGATTTGAGTTAATCTGCTGCCAGACAGATTCAAGTTTTACCGGTGGCGTGACTTTCTGAACTCCAAAAGAACACACCACTTTCAATTACAAAGCAATAACGCCCTGTTGTCAGACTTGACCCTTATATTCCAACAGTTTTATTTACACACGTACTAAGAGCTGGAAGAGTGACTCATTTGACTACAGTTCCCCGGTCGTCCAAGACTTTCAACACCGCTGCTGACCGATGAAGATCACTTCGATCTCAGACCTGCCCTATCCCACGTTGGGATTTAAGTTTGATCATAAGGAGGCTAAGACCGAATCGTTGTAGGCATTTTCGTGACGGGCGGATTCAAGTAGGGTGAAGACCTCCCGGAAAAAAAATAACAAAAAGTAAATACTGTTTTTATATCAGTCCTTCGTACAATAATTGGTTACATCAGAGTTCGCATGCAATTATCAGCTCAACCTGCACCGAAATCGGAAATGATATTGTTGTTGTCTTGGCAAAGTTTAATTTGCTGTTTTGGTAAAGTTCGGCACAAGGCTGAAGTTGGAGGCTTTCGTCAGCAGATAATCACGTGGGTCTCTCTCTCCTGTCTCTGGTCTCGTCTCCGTCACTTCTGGCTCTCTTCTCTCTTCTGCGATTCGCCTGCCGAATTCGGTTCGCGCATTCGTATTTATTGACATTCGCCGAAGTAAACTGGCGAAGTAAGAGAATTCGATAATTCTGGGAAATTCCCTTCTTCCACTCTCTCATATTATTACGTCTCAATTAAATCTTCTCAGTGAGCGTGGGTGGCTTATCCAACCACTCCTGGTATTCCAACTCAACTTTCGACCATAGGAATCAACTCAAAATTCGTTGTTTACGAAAAATGAAATTTTCGCTTTACAGCTTGCATTTGCATCTGTGTGTCAATCAACATTGCCCCCTAAGTCTGGGTCACTTTTCCATTGTTCAAACTGCTCGACATACAATTCAAGTCGTTTATATATGAATTAAATCTTCAATTATTTCCATGGGTTTTTGGTATTAACCTTTCTCGTTTCAGTGTCTCTCAGCACATAACACTTTCTATTCATAAGAAAACTTAGTTAGGTTTTATTCTACCGCGGTAACAACAAATAGTATCACAGATGTGCTCTTGCTCAGAAAGACGTAGTAATCGTTACAGTGTTATTAATAATGGAAATCTTGTTAGTTGACAATTTCGAAACTACATGTTTTGACTAGTGGATTGAGAAGCACCAAGCTCCATTTGGAATATGATCTAAATCAATGTTCTTCATTGATTTGTGATTATAATCTTTGTCAGTCACTGGCGGCCCCGTTCTTACATCACCTTTCGGCACCTAGAAATTTCTCACATTCCCTAATGTCTGTCCAGAATTCACATATTCATCTTACAACAGTTATTGCTACAGTTGACCCTCAAAATTGAAGCAGTTGTCATACAAGAGCAACAGTTAGCCATCTCACTACTTCCAGCAATCATTCTGTGGTCACAGAGTGTTAAATTTTTTCAACGTCTTGTGGTTGCAATAGCTACACTACGTCTTTACCTATTACATCTCATACTATACGCGTTGCATGTTTGAGTCCATTTACAAATAGAGGAAGGAAAGACATCCAGTGTAATTCTGTTTTGAAATGTTGATACTTCAGTTTATATATATATATACACACACACATATGTGTGTGTGTGTGTGTGTGTGTGTGTGTGTGTGTGTGTGTGTGTGTGTGTGCGTGCGTGTGTGTGTGTGGAGGAGTATTCAAGCAGCATATCTTCATTCAAACATGCTTTCATGTTTCATTGAATAATATAGGCATATTGTGTGTACTTATTTTTATACTGATCCTTTCCAATTGTCTAATCAGTTTCTTGGTGTTAAAATGAAATTCGTCAAGGAAGTTGCCGTAGTTTTTTTTTTTTAACATAAGTACTTTCGAACTTTTCCAAGACCACCTTTAGGGGTAAATTACAATCACAAACTGGTTGTGGCTGTCATAAGATCTGCATTCCATTGTGATGGTGATTTTTAAAACACAATTAAAAATGGCTGCCAAGGAACTACGTAACCAAACTCATATAACTATAAAAATATTTTTGTTGTATTAAATAAATCCGATTATAAATCGAAATTACAGAAAATACTCGACAATTATAACATATATATATATATATATATATATATATATATATATATATATATATATATATATAAACAAACAAACAATATTTTTTAAGATCGTACGCATTAAACGTGCTCAATATCAAGTTGGAAGACCAGACTTGAAGAGCTGCTTAATGTTTAAATATATATATATATATATATATATATATATATATATATATATACATCTTTTCACTTATATCTGTTTTTAAACACTCTCACACACAAATACACATACACACGCACACACACACACAGCACGAACACATTGAAAAATACAAACGGAGAAATAGTTCCCAGCACATAAAGTACTGATTTTGTGTAAAGATAGAGCATACGTACCATCAGAGATAACCCTTGCATGAAGATCTAACATTCGATTCTCAAGTTTGTTCATTCTAAGATGGAGGTCTTCCACTTTGTTGATAAAGACAGATAGCTTCTGGTCAAGCACTCCATTAAGATCTGACTGGTTAACCACTTCCTGCGCAATAGCCTCACGGGCGACTACTTGGTCTTTGAAGGCCATCTCGATCAGGTGTAGTCTCTGGGCCAGGTCTGAGAAAACGTGTTTCCATGGACACACGGGCTCGGATGACGGTGCGTTGCAGATATCGTTTGGTACGGATGTTTCGACGCTTCCCCAACTATAAATCCATCGTAGAGTGGCTAGAATGCCCACCAGTGAGAATATTATCCTGCAAAATAGATAGAACATTTTAGTGTCTCTATATTCATGCATACGTTTTTCTCTTCTTCCTTACATATGACGATCATATAGATATGGCAAATAAAATTTTAAACAAATACCTTCAGAACTTGCATTTTGGGGGACACTTCTTTCGATTGAAAAGATTTATAATGAATTGATGGAACTTTAATGTCATCGAATGTCGAAACTAAAAATGACTGATAAGTCTAAAATGCAATTTTGTACAAACTGAAGATTTTTCTTCATAAACGGCTTGACTTCTCCAAATTATTGTTGGAAGAGATTTTCAAGTAAAATTATTTAACTGAATTCTTATTGAATAAAACGAATTGATCTAACCGATCAAATACAAAATAGATCACAAATAAGTCAATGTCACAGTTCGAACTGTTCTCCTCATATTGAATGTTATAGTTATAATGTTTCGGTCATTTTAACTTCAGGCCTTCTTCATAAGTTTGTCATATTGGTTAATGTTCTAGAAATTTCAAACCAAACACTTTAATTAAACCACAGATGTAGATTGTCATTGTTTAAATATATCCAGCTTGACTGGTGGTCGTGAGCCAAAAAAATTAGATTCAGTGAAATGAGCAGAAGTTATATTACAAGAAGATTTAACTAATAAATGTATTCCCTACCAAGAACAGCGGAATGATAATCTAAAAAGAGAACTCCTTCCAATCAATTTAAATTCGTTTTGAAATATAACAAAGTATCTTGCTTATTGTAAATATCAAATTTAATCTATTATAACAGTGCATTTGGGGCGTAATTCCTCTTTTATAAATGTTTTATTAAAAACGACTGATAAGGTAATGTGGTTAAATTTTTTATTTACTTTTTCATGTGTTCTTATAATTTTCTTCTTTTCTGGGCGGAAATTATATAGAAAAGTGTTTTCTATGTCCGACGCGTTCAACTATACTTTTAGCCATTATCAAGGATGATTTTATATGAGGATGATTATCAAGGATAATTTTATTTTTACTTTTAAATGAATGTATGAATTGTTTTATATATGTATATATTCCAAACACGGTCAGTACATTGAGTGTTGGCTTTTTTACATGTGGATGAAGCTATGATATTTGTATTATCAACGAGTATGTTGCGGATGAAGTTTGGTAGATCTCTATGTGTATTTAAATGAAACCTAATTGAGCTATGGTCAGAGAGATGTAATGTGAGTATATAGTGATTTTCCAACCGTAGCTTAGATGTGGTACAAGGCAGAAATCATGGGGCACCCAGTGAGGATCAAAACATGCTAACCATTACACCACCTCGAGATGCCCAAACGTGTATATATATATATATATATATATATATATATATATATATATATTGAGAAATTAAACTTTAATGTTTTAGTGGACTCAGCAGTTTTCAATCAACTTGTCTTCAAGAAGCGAGAGCAAGATCTAAAAGGTCAGCCAATCTAACACTGATCTCATCCCACAATTCTTAATCTTGCTCCATATGTGGCCTCCTTTGTAAATCACTAGCGGGTTTTAAGTGTCACTTAAGATTATCGCACAAAATTTCATAAGTGAATCAATTAAGTTGTCAGATCCTCATACGTCGAAACCGATGGGAGAGTCCATTATATATATATATATATATATATATATATATATATATATATATGTGTGTGTGTGTATATAAATATATATATTTGGTAACACCCCATCAATTAATGAGATCTAGACGACAGTCTACTCGTACGGCACTTAAATTCAAAAAGTCTATATACCATATATATATATATATATATATATATATGTGTGTGTGTGTGTGTGTGTGTGTACGTGTGTGTGTGTGTGTGCGCGCGCGCGTCTGTGTGCGGTGCCATATTTTCATAATTATAAAAAATTAATAACATTAATTTCAAGAATCTAAAAGCATAAAAGCTTATTATCTTTCACATATGTATTCGCAGAGCTGTGCGTGAGAGTGTGGATTTACAACTCCAAAACTGTTCTTCAACATTTTATGGGGAATATAAATTTTGTTGCCTATTAAGAGTATTGCCTTCTATGATGTATAAAGATTTCATTGGGTTACTTTTAAGTGTTTCCATCTGAAACAAGTTTTGAAAGCAAAGGATAAAATCTTGTCATTAGAATAACCTTTCCCAATCAATACTTAGAATGTATTTGCGCAGATGCGTGTTAAGGTCAGTATTACAATTGTTTATCTTCTTTTTCTTTGTGATTTTATGAACCATTGACCATTTTAACAGCGTAATTGCGATGTTGCTAGTAACCATCTCTGATTTTACAGATTGTTGATGTTCTATATAAATAGAAGCTCAAGAAAAATTGAATCCTTTGCAAGTCACTGACATAACTTGTTTAGACTAGTTGCGCATTTTATGAATCTAATCGAATTTTATACTGAATAATTTATTCAGACACTTTTTATTGAAGACCGTCTAAATTCTCTTACGTAAATGTGTCATTATAAATACTAGTTTAATTTTTAACAGTACTATCATAATACCCATGAAAAATAACAGGATTATTTAAATAAGGATTGGCACTTCTGCTACAAATCAGTGTAGTATTAGTTCATCCCGCCTAGAATATAAGTGTGCCTTCTAGAGAATTCTATTTTAACTCAGTGAGGTATATGTGAGCTCTACGTGGGATCAATGCCGTTCTCGGGCCTTCTAGATAGGTTCAGTGTAATAACTGAATGCTCTGATCATTATCAAAGTATAACTCTCCTGCGCTTTGTGAAAAGTATTACACACACACGCGCACACACATACACATACACAAAGATATATATGTGTGTGTGTATGTGTGTGTGCGTGCTTATGTATATGAATAATAGCATAAGAAACAAATAGGAAATGTTTATAATTCTAACATGTCTCGCTTTTATTTAAGCTTCATCTAAAATGAAATATGGAAGAGAAAATGATGGTGTTTTTATTTTCATGCTTTTTTTTATTGGTTAAGTAGATCTCACGTGTATTTGCTATGTCTGGTTGTGTTGGTGTGTATAATTCTTTTGTGTTTGTGCATCATAATTCTAGTTGGTCTATACAGGATTTACTTGATAATGTTGTGTGGGCGCGTCTGGTAACCATTTTATTTCTGTCTGGTATGTTTATTGTGGGACGTTTTGTGTGGGTGTGAAAGAATTATTGGTTACTCCGGTTGGGGTGTAGTTAACACACACGCATATATATATATATATATATATATATATATATATATATATATATATATATATATATATATAATCCCCTCTTGCCATAAAACTCATTTGGATACGTCTCCTTTTTTCCATTTTTCCTCCTTTTTTTCTTTTACTTTATTTCCTTTCCTCACTATTCCTACAATTCACTTCCGTTTTCTTTAACCATATAAATAGGTCAAGGTTAGGTCACTCCTCCTACCCCAATATAAAGCTTATTTAAGAGAGATGTAAATTTAACCCTCCCTATATTTTGTATTGTCTCTTTAACCGCCACCTTCACCCTCCCTGTTTAATTAAAAAAATTACACTACCAATCAATTTCTAATCACATTTTTCTTCTCATTTCATTGTTGGAAGTGTTTATCTGATGATCCGAAATCCTTTAAAAAGGTTTTTGGTGAAATAAATTATTATAATGGTACCTTAAAGTCGTCTGTTTTTCATTAAATATTAGCTCTGTTCTTCACATTGAGCTCTCAGGATTTCATCCTCCTTGGATTTACCAATTCGGTTTACCAAGTTCTTTATAACTTAATATATATATATATATATATATATATTATATATTAATTGTGTATTTAGGCAGCAATCCTTCATTTATACATATTTCATTAAAGACGACAGACAAGGTTGTGCTTTTTATTTAATTTTTCTGGTGTTCGAACAAGTGTTTTCTTTTGTCGACACAGAGTGTGTAGAAACTGTCCAAATGCTCTGTAATTCCGAGCGCTTTCGGCTATACTTTTAGCCATTATCAAAGATGATTTTATTTTTGCTTTTTAACGGGGTGTATGGGTTTTATGCATGTTTCTAGGGAAAAAGCTACCCGACCACTTGGGCTACAGGAAATTTTTGGCCGAGCCTACGGGCTCGGATACCCCACATTAAATTCGGCCTTGTGCCACATCTGACCGCGTGGGATCGTTGGTAGATATCATGCTGATGGAGACTCATTGTGGAAGGTTATGACAATCTCCTTCTGAAGCCACACCCTTTATTCAGCATCGTTTCCATTGGTGGAAGTATTCCTGGAACTCCTTTTGTTAGGTTAGAGAGCCACAGCCTCGTCACGCTCTCTTGCATTTCCTCGATGTCTTGTTCCTTTCAAGTGAAATTTGCTTTTTGAAGAGGAAATTGTCTCAAATGGCGAGATCTGGGGAACATGGTGGTTGTCGAACTTGAGTAATGTTGTACTTCACCATAAACTGCTGTACAAGCCATGGTCACTGATGAAACCTCTTCCTTCCAAGTACAACTATAAACAACGGAATGCGCGACAGAGTTCAAGGTCAATCTGTGCCAAGCGGCTTCATTCTGTTGTACTTATCATAACAACAGTACCGACATTTTTTGATCAAATCTTTTACGTCACAAAGGTTGAACATAAGAAATTAAGTTATTTCCCAACCGAGCGACATGAAATATTAGAATATCTATATGTACGCACGCGCGGATATGTTTCATTGATAAAAAAAAAAGGCAACATAAATGTGATGAATGAAAAAAATAATAAAATATTAATGAAACTTGTTTTATATCATATTTTAATATCTTGTTGCTCTAAATATGAAATAATTTAATTTTATTGAAATTCTACATCGTCTAAAACATCCACATTACAGCTTACACGTTTCTCTTTTCATTGATATGTATTTTAGCGTGAATTATTTATGAAATTAATGTGACACCTTAATTATATACATTTTTTATTAAATAATAATCACACGTAAGTAAAAGGAATAAGTGAAAGCAAACATTAATATCACGTGACAT